CACAAAACTCAACAGCACATCCTACTTCAGCTTAAAGCTTATCTTGCTTCTTGATCTCTCATTGCAGATTTTGCTTTCTTGTCTCTCACTATCTTTTGTTATTTAGAAATTTTTCACCATACTCTTACTGATCACTTTGCTACTTCTATTCAAACCGCAGTACGGAAGAAGACCATTCAGCCCATTGAGTCCAAACTGATCCTCCAAACAGCAACCCACCCAGACCCAAATCCTCACCCTATCCCCGTAACCCTGCATTTCCCATGGCTAATCCATTTAGGCTGCACATCCCTGCACACCTTGGTTAATTTAGAATGGCCAATCCATTTAACCTACACATTTTTGGACTGTGGGAGGAAATCCACGCAGACATGGGGAGAATGTGCAAACTCCACACAGACGGTTGCCCAAGGGTGGAATCGAACCTGGGTCCCTGGATCCGTGAGGCAGCAGTGCTAACCACTGAGCCAGCGTGCCGCCCCTATAAGGGGTACGAATAGGGTGGATAAGAAACAGCTGCGCCCCCCCCTTCGTTGAAGGGTCAATAACAAGGGGCACAACTTGAAAGTGAAAGGCAGAAGGTTTGGAGGAGATTTGAGGAAAAGCATTTTTTTCTTCACCCAGAGGGTGGTGGGAATCTGGGAAGGCAGTTGAGGTGGGAAAGCTCACAACTTTTTAAACGTACTTGGTTGAGCACTTGACATGTCATGGCTAAGAGGCTAGTGCGGGCAATTGGGAATAATGTAGATGGGTCAGTGCAGACCAGGTGGGCCAAAGGACCTCTTCAGTGCTGTATGACTAATTAAATCAAGGTGTGGTCTTTCACTTATTGCATTCGACTCATGCTAATCTAATGGCAGCCCGAAGAAAATATATTGGTACTTTGACCACATTATTTCATGTGATCCTACGTATCTTGTGACAGCTGTAATCATTCACTATTATTGCACCATTGTTTTCATGTATTTCTTTCAATTGTTTACAGATGGCAGTCTATTGCACCTGCTACATGATAGCCAGTAATGTTCAATGACAATTGTACTATTTTGCTTTAGACTTCTCTATTCTATTGATACGGAACCCATAGAACATCCTTACAATCCAAATCTGAGCCACCACTCCATGGTAAGTACTGCATCATTTGGTTCCATGGTTCTAACCCACAATTTTTAATCATTTTGTGAACTCACAAAACTCAACAGCACATCGTACTTCAGCTTAAAGCTTATCTTGCTTCTTGATCTCTCATTGCAGATTTTGCTTTCTTGTCTCTCACTATCTTTTGTTATTTAGAAATTTTTCACCATATTCTTACTGATCACTTTGCTACTTCTATTCAAACCCTTCGAGTTACAGAGTCATAGAGATGTACAGCACGGAAACAGACCTTTTGGTGCAACTTGTCCATGCTGACCAGATATCCAAAATAAATCGAGTCCCATTTGCCAGCATTTGGCCCATATCCCTCTAAACCCTTCCTATTCACGTACCCATCTGGTTGCCTTTTAAATGTTGTAGCTGTACCAGCCTCCACCACTTCCTCTGGCAACTCATTCCATACACACACCACCCTCTGCATGAAAAAGTTGCCCCTTAAATCCCTTTTATATCTTTCCCCTCTCACCTTAAACCTATGCCCTCTAGATTGGACTCCCCAACCCGAGGGAAAAGACCTTGTCTATTTACTCTATCCATACCCCTCATGATTTTATGAACTTCTATATCAGGTCATCTCTCAGCCTCCAATGCACCAGGGAAAATAGCCCCCGGCTATTCAGCCTCTCACTATAGCTCAAACCCTCCTACCCTGACAACATCCTTGTAAGTGAAGACAATAAGGACTGCAGATGCTGGAAGCCAGAGTCTATAGGTGTGAAGCTGGAAAACCACAGCAGGACTAACGAAGGGTTTCAGCCCGAAACATTGACTTTCCTGCTCCTCTGATGCTGTCTGACCGGTTGTGCTTTTCTAGCTCCACACCTATAGACAACATCCTTGTAAATCTTTTCTGAACCCATTCAAGTTTCACAACATCCTTCCTATAGTAGGGAGACCAGAATTGCACGTAATATTCCAATAGTGGCCTAACCAATGTCCTGTACAGCTGCAAAATGAACTCGCAACTCCTCTACTCAATGCACTGACCAATAAAGGCAAGTATACCAAATGCCTTCTCCACTATCCTGTCTACCTACAACTCCACTTTCAAGGAACTATGAACCCGCACTCCAAGGTCTCTTTGTTCAGCAACACTCCCCAGGACTTTACCATTAAGTGTTTAAGTCCAGCCCAGTTTTTGCCTTACCAAAATGCAGCACCTCATATTTATCTAAATTAAACTCCATCTGCCACTCCTCAGCCCATTGGCCCATCTGATCAAGATTCCATTGTACTCTGAGGTAACCTTCTTCACTGTCCACTACACCTTCAGTTTTGGTGTCATCTGCAAACTAATCTTCATTGCCTCAACACAATGTGTTAAAATATAACCTTTCCTAAGCATCCGCACCACATTCATTTAAGTCTTCCCTCATTTGTTTACTTCTATCACTGGTGTCCCTTCAGTTCAGATGAGGTTATTCCGCAACCGCAAACGTCCCGCGCCCCCCCACCCCCACCCCAGGATATCTGACTAACATCCCAAATCTACTCCAATACTCTAACATGTGAATCGTTCCCTCTTCCACTAGCTCCACAGCCACACACTGACCATCATCCCCACCTCCTCAAGGTGCCCAGTGCATGGTATTGGAGATAATCGGGAGACAGATTCAGTCGAAGAGAATAAAACAGCACAGACAGTGGCCTGTAGTGGTGACTCACTGCAAGGCCCATCAATTATAATTCCATTTGCCTGCTCTCTCTCTCTCTGTCTCTTTCTCTCCGTTGCCCAGAAAATCTTTTTCAAGTAGATTCAATTCCTTTTACAAAGTTACTACTGAGTCTGGTTTCACCAGCATGTCAGGCAATGTGTGAAAATAAGTCTCTTCATCACCCTCATTATTTTAAATGACTTTACGAACTAGACCACCACACCTCCCACCCCCAGCTTGCACAAACATTTCACATCCATGTACTCTTGATCAAACTTCAGTTGAAGTTTTCACTTAAGTTCCGTTTTGTTAAAAAGGAAATAATTGGCTCAGTGCTGTAAATAAATATCTCACTGGGATAATCAACCCACAGCAAAATTCACCAAACAACTGCAGCCATCCAAAGTGGCCACCAGAGGCCAATATTAAGCAAAGTAAAAGGCAGTCTGGCCCTGTTTTACAGTCACAGAAACTTCATTTAAAGATCCAATATATATCTTATCTTAACAATTGCTCTATTCCCACTGATCGCTGTGGGTTTGTGTCTGCACAAGGTGGAAATGTTGACACTTCCTAGCTTAACCAGAGATTTCCTTAGGTATATTAAGAGATAAACCTGAAAGAGCACAAAAAAGATTTACAAGGATGTTGCCAGAGTTGGAGGGTTTGAACTACAGGGAAAGGCTGAATAGGCTGGGGCTATTTTCCCTGGAGCCTCAGAGGCTGAGGGAGTGATCTTATAGAGGTTTATAAATCATGAGGGATTTGGATAGGGTGAACAGTCAAGGTCTTTTCCCCAGGGTAGGGGAGTCTAAAAAACTAGAGGGCATAGGTTTAAGGTGACAGAGGAAAGATTTAAAAGGGGCCTAAGGGGAAACATTTTCATGCAGGGATTGGTGCGTGTATGGAATGAGCTGCCAGAGGAGGTGGTGGAGGCTGGTACAATTACAACATTTGAAAGGCATCTGGATGGGTACATGAATAGGAAGGGTTCAGAGGGGTATGAGCCAAATGCTGGCAAATGAGACTAAATTAATTTAGGATATCTGGTCAGCATGAACAAGTTGGACCGATTTGGACTGAATGGTCTGTTTCAGTGCTGTATATCTCTATGACTCTATCTGAAGGGCAAGAACCAGAGGGCAATAAATCATGATTGAAAGCAAGATGGGGCCAGGGGAAGTTAAAAGCCTATCAATTATACAAGTAAGGGAAAAGAGGGGTAAGGAATTCCACATCTGGACATCCTGGTAAAGAATGAGTTAGAATGGAAGATTGTGCAGCAAGTCTTGATTTTGATACTGTGAGGAAGAAGGGAATAGGAAAGGTTTGTGGAAAAGTATAATTACAGCTCCAGAGGAATGAGAGAGAAGAATTCAATAATATTAATCAAGAAAGAGAGAGGGAGAGCTTGTGACAGAGAAAGAGCAAGACTAAAGGAAGCGCGACATGGATTGCTCTCAGATTGCAATGCAGTTTGTGCAAGGTCAAAATTTCAGAAAATAACTTCCTAATATGATAATGCCCCAAACAAATGTTTTCTCTAATGCTGATTGCTTTCTGAGGAAGACTGCAAAAGGTGCGAATTGTAAACTTCCTGCTTGCTGTAACCAGCCGTGCAATTAATTGTACAGTTATTAATTATAGGATTTCAGGCAGCACGGTGGCTCAGTGGTTAGCACTGCTGCCTCACAGCGCCAGGGACCCCCGTTCAATTCCACCCTCAAGCAATTGTCTGTGTGGGGTTTGCACATTCTCCCCATGTCTGTGTGGGCTTCCTCCAGGTTCTCTGGTTTCCTCCCACAGTCAACAAATGTGCAGGTTAGGTGGATTGGCCATGCTAAATTGTCTATAGTGTTGAGGGATGGACAGGCTAAGTGGATTAGCCACGGGAAATGCAGGGTTACAGTGATAAGCTAGGGGGTGGGTCTGGGTGGGATGCTCTTCAGGTGGTCGGTATGGACTCAATGGGGTGAATGGCCTGTTTCCACACTGCAGGGATTCTAATGATTCTCTATTGAGCAGATAATGGTCATCATACCAAACAGCACTGTCCTATCCATCTGTAAAGGTACTGATATCTAAAGGACCTTTCACAGCGCTTAAGCGTGCATCATTTCAGCAAAATACGATGAGGGGTTTCAGACTGGTCTAATCCTCACGTTACAGACAGCTGCCAATACTCACCAGCATTTTGGCCACACAGTTCTGCTCCCCGGCATAACAGAAATCTCCAGAAACGTTGGTCTCAAACCAGACGTGCTCCCCGTACTGTGCATTCTCCTAAGAAACACACCACAGAAAACGGGATTATTCAATGGCCAGTTTGGACAAATACCAAATATCTCTGTACGCTCTGTAACATGTGCCTTGGTGGAGCCAACACTGGGGAAGGAGGTGCAGTAAAGTCCATTTCAGGTTTGTTCGAGGTCAGGAAGAGAACGGTATGCCACAGTTGAGTTTTCTTTTCGTTTGTTTATGGAATTTGGGCTTCATTGGTTGGGTCAGTATATATTGCCCATCAATAATTGCCCTTGAACTAAGTAGCTTGCTAGCCCATTTTCAGAGGGCAGATAAGCATCAACCGCATAGCTGTGGGTTTGGAGTCATGTGTAGGCCAGACCAGATGAGGATGGCAGATTTCCTTCCCTAAAGGGCAGTAGTGAACAAATTGGGTTTTTATGACAATCAACACAGGCCTTTAATTCCAGACTTTCTTTTTTAAACAAACTGAATTCAAATTTCACCATTTGCCATGCCACAAATTGAACCAATCTCCCCAAAACACGTCAGATTCCAGAATACTAGCCCAGTGACAGTTACAACTGTGCCACCTTGTGGCTATGAAGAGGTGGGCACGAGGGCAAGGACAAGATAGAGTGCGAATGAGGTCCCCTCTACCTCTTAGTCAAAGACCTAACTGGGTAGCCAGGGAGTCAACTTCTTTCAGGATCGATTTTGGGGGGTTTGGGGAGTGGGGGCTGGTGAGGTTAAAGATTCAAAACCTCCTTAGTTTGGACTTCCAGAGATGCAACCTGTCTAGAGAAGAGGGTGGGTTCATCTGATCCAGTTCACTGCCCATGCTGGTTTGAAACTGGACAGGAACAAATGTAGGCTTGGTTCAGCTATTCAGATGACAGTGAAACTGATGGCTGCAACACATGGACACTTTACTGAGAATGGCAAATCATTTGCATCAGTAGAGAGACAAGCAGCACCTTGAAGCCACGGGCCCTCACAGAAGATGAACGATAATCAGCTTTTGAATTAGCGAGATGGCCAGCAACTGAATCAGACAGAGTGAGGAAAAACTGGGGAGGGATAAGAAAGATTCGAGTGTGTCTGCTCCCCAGCTGTGGCTTTTCTACCTGAAGCTTTCTAGAGATATAAAAGGCTTTGATGTGACACTTTAACAAACCGTGCATAGGAACCGAACGACCAACCGTCTCTTTGCACCTCCCTTGTTTCTAGCTTTCCACCATTTAGAAATTGTTCCATTTTTGCCGTTTTTAGGTCTATTGTGAATGATCTTACATTGAGTTTCATTTTTTCCCATTCACTTAATCGGTCTAAACACCTTTGCAATATTATGTTCCCAGCTACACAGCTGAGAATTCAGCAATATGGAAATAATGCTTTCTAATCCATCATCCACATCATTAACAAAATGTGATAAATAATTGAGGCTCCAACACAGATCTTTGTAGGGCGCCATTAGTCACATCCTGCTAATTACAGTATCTGCTTGTTAGCACTACTCGCTGTTCCCTGGCACTCTCTCCGTTCCTTACCCTTTTAATAATTTGCGTTAAACTCTATGATTCTGAACTTTAGGTAACTGTCCCTTTTGAGACTTTATAAAATTGTTCTACAAGTCCTTAAATATAAGATCCAGGTTCTCCAAATTGTGGTGCAGTGTCTGTCTCTGAGCCAGAACTTCCAAGTTCAAGTCCCAGTCCAGGACTCGATGACCATAAGCCAGCCTTGCGCAGAGTATCAATTTATAAATCAGGGCAGTGCCACATCATAAACATGGACCAAAACAGAGGTTTATGGTCACCAACCTCCTCTCAAAGCCTTGGATGTGAAGACAAAGACTCTCCAGTCCACTACTTTAGTCACCTCTTCAAAATGTTTCATCAGGTTTGTCCTTTACAAATCTGGGACGACTCTCCCATATCAACAGGAATTTTTTTTGTTGTCAGTGTACCCTTAATTGGAAATTCTAGTAATTGCTCACATTGATGTTAGGTTGATAGGGCTGTGATTCTTTGATCTCACCATATTCACTGCTCCAAAGCAGTGTGATGATTTATTCAATTTTCTTACTATAAAAATAGTTTCATAAAACAACAGCAACTGTAAGTTTATAGTTAGGACATATGTAATGTTCTCACCTGCTTCTTTTAAGATCTAGCAGGAAGCCCTCTGGACCACAGAATTTGACATCTTTTAGCTTTAATCATTTCTTTGCCACCACTATTTTGCCGCTGTTAATTCTGTCGAGCCCCCGAGCCTGATTCAACATTAGTTTCACCGGAATGTCTAACACACTGACCTCTTCTGTTATTATAAAGGCAGAAGCAAAGTTAGGTGGCACGGTGGTAATGGCACCGGATTAGGAATCTAGAAGATCCAGGGTAAGGCTCGAGATGCGAGTTCAAATCCCACCACTGAGAATGGTGGAATTTAAACTCAATTAATAAACTAAACAAAAACAACCGATCTGATGTTGATCATGGATCATAAAGCCATCTGGTTCACTGGTGTCATTTCTAGGCAGGGGGAGTCTACCATCCTCATCTGCTCAGACCTACTGGTGACTCCAGAACCATAACAAGGTGGTTGGACGAGGTAGGAGTCACCACTGCAGAGCCCTTGTAGAGACCACGTTTTACCTTCACACTGAGGGTACCATCTATCACGCTGCATGGCACCACCACACAGATTTCAAATAACTCTGGAAACGCAAAACTGGGGATCCATGAAGAGGTGTAGGCCATCAGCAGCGGATGAATTATGCCACTATCAGCTCCACCACCACCTTCCCGATTCTTCCTGCAGGCAGTCACGCGCAAATTTTATTCTTTATTCTTTTGTGGGACGTAGGTGCAGTTAACATGGCCAGCAACTGATGCCCATCCCAAATGCGCCTTCATTTGGACGGCTTACTAGTCCACTTCAGAGGGTAGTTAACAGCCAACCACATTGCTGTGGGTCTGGAGTCACATATAGTTTAGGCCAGCTCAGGATGGCATTGAGGAAACAGCTGGTGAATACTTCTCCACAGAATTAATCGGGGAGACAATGGCCCAGTGGCATTATTGCTGGACTGTTAATCCAGAGACCCAGATAATGTTCTGGTGACCCGGGTTCGGATCCCGCCACGGCAGATGGTGGAATTTGAATTTCATAAATATCTGGAATTAAGAGTCTAATGATGACTGTGAATCCATTGTCAATTGTTGGAAAACCCATCTAGTTCACTGATGTCCTTTAGGGAAGGAAACTGCCTTCCTTACCTGGTCTGGCCTACATGTGACTCCAGACCCACAGCAATGTGGTTGACTCTTAACTGCCCTCTGGGCAATTAGGGATGGGCAATTAATGCTGCCTGGCCAGCGACGCCCTCATCCTGTCAATGAATAAAACAAAAATTCCTAGCCTCTGACCTATTCTTGTAGCGACAGTGTTTACAGCTGATGCAGTTCAGTCCCTTGACAGCTTTATAAGAGGGTTACAGTTTTAACAAAAGAATTATGTCGACAGGCCATAATTATTTATCTGTAACTGGAATCTATTTATTGTAGTAAATCATAATTAATGTCGAGTTCGGAAATCAGGCCCATGCTTTCTCTCAAACTGGGTCGAACTAGACAGGAAAATTGGGGACGTAGGTGCACTTTTACAAAGCCTTTAACTTTCATGACAACTCAGATTAGCAGGGCTTCATTTCCAGCCTGCTGCCCCATTGGTGTAACAATATTGAACTAGACAGAAAAAAGAGTCAGTAAATTGGAATTTGCATTCACCTTGATTATTCACTGAACATCTGCCCTCTTTGAGCATTGTGACAAGCTGAGGAACAGCATCAAATTTAAGCCATGGGCTGAAACTGCACCATTTCCCAACCACAAAATTTAACTAGTGCTTCAAGTGAGACCAGGAAGAACCAACTCATTTACATGTGTCATCATGATATCCAGAACGACTTCAAACTGCTCACATACTAACTTGAACTGTGATCCGAACAGTAGGAATTAAAATGAAAAATGCACTTATTCACTTCTGGCAATTTCTGACAAAACTGCAATGATTAGCGTGATTTAAATTCTGTGTGAAATGGCAATGTAGTGTTGCTGGACATACAGTGATGTTAGGCAAGTTGCAGAATTCTACCTTCCTCAACGAGGACGTAGTAAAGATTTAAAAAAACTTTCATTCCTACATGGAGTCATCCACACTTTCCTAACATCCTGAAGTGTTACACAGCCAATGCAGTACTTTTGGAATTGCAATCAGTGTTGTAATGTGGGAAATGCAGTAGCCAGTTTTCACACAGCAAGGCCCCACAAACTGAAATACATGAGATAATCTGTTTTAAAAGTTAATGATTTGAGAGGTAAAAATTGTCAGAATACAAGGAAAACTCATAATTGAATAGTTTTTTTTATTCATTCATGGGATGAGGGTGTTGCTGGCTAGGCAGCATTTATTGCCCATCTCTAATTGCCCAGAGGGCAGTTCAAAGTCAACCACATTGCTGTGGGTCTGGAGTCACATGTAGGCCAGACCAGCTAAGGAAGGCAGTTTCCTTCCCTAAAGGACATTAGTGAATCAGATGGGTTTTTCTGACAATCGACAATGGATTAATGATCATCATTAGATTCTTAATTCCAGGTATTTTATTGAATTCAAATAGTTCTGTGGATTAGTTTATATCCACGTGGCGGCTGACAGGGCCTTGCGTTAACATCCCATTTGAAGCGCCTCAGACAGTGTAGTACGCCCTCAGTATTGCACAAGTGTAGATTCTGTACTCAGCTCCCTGCTATAGGTGTTAAAACCACAAGCTTGAGCCAGAGGCGAAAATATGACCAATTGCATCAGGGCCTATATGCAAGAGCGGAAACCAATGATGCATCACACATGGGTTACCATCCTCAATCCTCAAACTTGGCTTTTGATTCAACTTTGTTCCAGGGTGCCATTAATAATGCAGGACATAGGGGAAGTAGTGGGCCAAGCTTTCAGCTCTACTGTCATGGTATTGGTATCTGTCGCAATAGGACCACCAATACTGACACTCGTTTTCATAGTTCTACAATAAGATCTTAGCCAAGAGGCGCTTGCCATTTGACAAGAAGGGCAATAAATTAAACAACTAGTAGAACAAGTGTAACTTTTTTTCTAAATTGTTTCAAACTCTTTGAAAAGGAAGATCTAACCTCATCTTGACACATCCCCCAGAACTGAGAATATGACCCGGCTTCCTGCTAGTCTGTGATTAATAAAGATAAATCTAAAAATAGACTGTAAATGATAACACAACACATCTTCCTATTGAGAAAAAAAATCAGTTCTAATGTATTCCAGGGAAACCAATGATATCCAGAGAAACAACAGCAATTCTGGGAACGTTCAATTAATCTGGAACATATTTTCCTTCAGCCCCAGCCAGACTTCTTCTTGCTACTGGGTTTACGCTTGAAAGGCCATTTATTCCAACAAACTACTAAATTGGCATTGATATCTCAGAGCAACGATCTTCAGAGAAGCGGAAATATTTGAATTAGGAAAAGGTAAATCACAAAAGTGATCTGATCATGTTCTTAGCGTGGAGGAGAGTTAGGTAAAAAGGGATTGTTTGCAGCGGGAGAGGGTTCGGGACAGTGGGATTGTTTGC